TGGTGGTCCCAAAGTGGTGAAATACAAAGTCTAGAGGGGGGGTGAATAGACTTTGTTACAGATTTAAAATCTTTTTCGTTTCTTTTGAAAACGTGAAAATGAGTGTTAATCTAGAGTCCTTGTGAACTTTAGATTGTGTGCGGAATTTGGTGGGTGGAGTGAGCAGTAATCAATATGGATAGGTTAGTTTTCACAGTTAATATAATTGCAAGTAAGAATAAAGATGAGAGAGAGAGACACGCAAACTTTAACGAGGTTCGAAGGTGGGGTAATCCTTCTACGTCCTCAAAATCCACTATGTAGTTGGTTGTTGAATAATGAACCAACAATTACACTTGTGTGAATTTCTACACGGTATATCTTCACAAGACCAATGTTGCTACTGCACTCGTGCTGGCTTTGTTGTTCCTTCGAAGGTCAAGCTTCTTCAACAACTACAAGATCCGAACAATAGGACTTGCAAGATCAACTTGTAAGAGAGTTGACCTACCCCCTTTTAATCAATAAGTTTGATCAAAAGTAATATCCTTCAACGTGGTGTGGTGCTTGAGGCAAGAAAACCTTCAAGTGTTTACACTATAGCTTTTTGGAAGGAGGAGAAGTTTTCTTCTGGATAAGGAGTTTAGAAATCTCTCTTTATCAAGATTTTTGGGCTAACTGTGAATGAGAGAGCTTTAGTGATTGCTTCGTTGTGTTGTTGTATCAACGTATCTCATCGTGTTCTCTTCTGTCTTCCAAGGATGCTATTTATAGCTGGATTGGATAATCTATCCGTTGAATCATAATAGATTATCCGTTGCTTTTGCTGGCTTCAATTTTTGAATGAAGATTGTGATTTGAAGATTCTTCGTTGAAGTGGGTGTTTGGACGTACCCAATTGTTGAGAAAGGATTCCTTCTTCCACAGAATCTGTCTTCTAGCCGTTGTTCAAGAATTCAAGACTGTAGCACTTTACTCTGTTTGTCTTCTAGTGCTTGTTTAGGAATTCTGGACAGGTTCTTCAATTTTTAGAGATTTAGACTTTGTCTTCGAGTCATTTGTTCTTGAATCAGCATAATTATCTTTAATCTAGCCGTTGAAAATCAAGAGATTGATTTTTCCTTACCAACGGGTAGAATTTCTTCATTCAAGACTTAGATAATTTTCTAAGTCTTTTCTCACTTGTCCGTTTTTTGAGAATTCCGGTCTTCCTTGAGGCATCCGGTTCTTAGCTGACAAATCCGGAGAAGTCATTCTCAGACTTCCGGGTGAGAGAGAGATCCGCGCTAGTCTTCCGATTTGGGTGACTTAGCCTTCAGCGGGTTGTAGCGAGACATCCGGTTCTTATGTAGTCTTCCGGAATAGAGGATTTTCTGCTTGAGAAATCCTTACTTGTCTCTAGCTTTTCCGATTAAGATATCCAATTTCCATATCACTGAATTTGATTAAGTCTTCAGGCATCAAAACGCTTAAAGAAATATCACAACCTTATTGGAAAACTCAAGAACTTGGTTTTAACAATATTTCTAAAAAGAAAAATTACATTGAATATTGGGGGAGACCTAAAGTCCCTATTACATTCTAAATACATCATCATCAAAATCTNTTACTTGTCTCTAGCTTTTCCGATTAAGATATCCAATTTCCATATCACTGAATTTGATTAAGTCTTCAGGCATCAAAACGCTTAAAGAAATATCACAACCTTATTGGAAAACTCAAGAACTTGGTTTTAACAATATTTCTAAAAAGAAAAATTACATTGAATATTGGGGGAGACCTAAAGTCCCTATTACATTCTAAATACATCATCATCAAAATCTATGATATTTTTCCCAAAAGTCTAGGAACACAAATACACTCAAGAACGAGGCTCTCTTATAGAGTAGATTATGACTAAACTAAGTACGCTCAAGAACACAACACAAGCTTCACAAAAATGGCTCTCAAAAAGCTATGAATAAAGAATGAGTGATTTGCAATGAAAGAGTAGGAGTTGTGAAGTCAATGTGTTTTTAAAAACAGACCCAAATACCCTATTTTATAGTTGAAAAATAGGCTCCAACGGACCAAAACATTTAAGGGGTGATTTGCACAATTTGTGGGATTTGATTAAATTTGGATCTGCTAAAATTCACCCAGACAGCGCTGTCCTAGGCTTGGACATCGCTGTTCTAGGCTTGCGTTTTGAAAATTGTGAAGAACCGGTCATGCCAACAGCGATGTCCAATACTCCTACATTGCTTTTTTGGCTGTTGACTTCCAAACAAGGAAAGTTTTAGCCTTAAATTCTTTCCAACGGTCAGGTCCTTACATCGCTGTTCAATACTTGAACATCGCTGTTTAGGTCTGACTTTGAAGGTGGAGTTTTGGCCTGACTGCGCTGTTGCTGGGTCAACATCGCTGTCCTGAAACTTTCTGCCAATGCACTATATTTTTGGCTTAGGTTGGACAACGCTGTAGGGAGGCCTACATCACTGTTCCAGAAGTTTCTGGAAATCCAACCTTGGCTCAACAGCGATGTCTAACATCCAACATCGCTGTTGGAAGACTTAACGCCAAACTATGGTTTTCAGCTACCCAATCCAGACAGTGCTGTTGGTTACACCAACATCGCTGTTGGGCTGGTTTAGCCAGACCCATGGTTGGTTTAGTTAGCCGTTAGCCGATGTCAAAAATGTGAGTTCTCCAAAATAAAAACCAAGTATTGAAAATGTTTGTTTAATGCATTTTGCTAAGAAATCAAGTAAAACATTTTGAAAACCACGTCATTTAGTTGAAAACCACGGCTAGCCAAGTTTACGCCATTTCGCATGGTTTTCACTAAGCGACCAAAACGAAAGGTGGTTTTTTTGAAGAGTTTTTGTTGGAGAACTATTTAAATATGCCCAGAAGTAAAAACTAATCATTAAAAGTTGAAAACCACTTGGTTGGTTCGAACGCCAAAAACTAACGCCGATAACCGAAAGCCGAACGCCGGTTTCCAAAGACCGAACGCCGGATGGCTTGGTTTTTGGTTTGGGCGAAGTCCAAGTGTTTTCATGCAGGTTTAAGACTTAAGAAAATCATTTTGAATATGCAAAAAATATTTTGATGAAATGAGCCTAGAGAGCCATGTTTTGAAGGTTTGTGCCGGTCTTGATCACATTAAAACCGACTCAATATAATTCTAAGTCTTCGTTCTTGATTCTTGGTTCTTGGTTCTCAGTTCATCATGCCATGTTCCTTCGCCTTGGTTTTGCTCAGTTTAACCTTGTTATTGTCACGGTGGTTTGGCATTATCAAAACCTGTCATAAAACAAACACGGCTTAGTACGACATAGGCGTAAACCCGTGTTCCAACAATTTCCCCCTTTTTGATAATGGCAAACAAGACGGGAATATGCATACTAAGGTATATTTGACTTTGAAAAGAGTGAAAAAGTTCCCTCTTAATTCGTGCTTAAAAAAAGAAATTGTCATATTAAAATCAAACGATCCCGTTTTTA